CGGCCGGGACGCCCTGCTCCGTTCCTCTTGTTTTGAGATGGAAATGTAGCTCTGGAGGGCTTCCTCGGATCAGCGAATTTTTCCCATGTGCTTATTTATTAAGATTGTATTGACGATGGAGCCTCACTGCCTGTTCCTGAAGCCTCTACCGGTGACCGCGGAGTTAACAGGTTCGTGGTGTCATAGCGGTGAGGTAAATGAAGCCTGATCATTTGGTAACATACTGACTGGATTGACAGGTGTACGGTGGTGTCCTTACGTTCAGTCTTCCTTATGTTTCGCTTAAGGGATCAGAAAAACTCTAGTTTGCATCTTCAGATCTTCTAAATGAATACTCCTGCATGAACAAGAGTTCACACAGCCCTAGATCCAGCTAAGACCGCTTGGAGCATTTATATTTGCCTATATTTTCATCATGAAAGCAGTGAAAAGCATGACACTTTTTTCCCCCTTCATTTACAAATGTAGGATCTCAAAGAAGTTGAAGTGTGAACTCCTTTTCGTGCTCACCTGAGAATGGGGGTCACTGCTTCAGAAGCAGTTCAGTTTTGACCCTGTTTAAAATTTTTCTGAATGGTAATGCTTAGTCACATTGGACATTAGACATATTGGAGTCTCATATAAATCACTTGGGCTTCAATAAGCTTTTATTTATATTCTGAAATACTGTAAACTGCACTATCAGTTCATGATTCTTTTAACTCCTTTGCTACGTGTTGCCTCAGTTTCATTGGTGCACAATCAGTACCTTGGTAAATAATAACTCCTAAGGAGGAAGGGAAGAAACAGATGAACAGGGTTTTGCTGAAATTACCAATTATATTTACAAATGTAAGTTAATTACATTTAAGCACCATGGACACTTATGTTAATATATACTCTAGAAGCTGCAGTTCCAAATTTGAAGGGAGACACTTTAATTGCTAAAAGGCCTGACTTTCTTTCTGTGCCCACTCTCAAGCCAGAAGAGGTACTTCATGAGGTCTGAGAATTTGGCCTAATTAGCCTATAAGAATACTTCCCCAATTAATTTTAATATCACTCTTCTAAAATTTACCTCCCAATGCAAGGGAAATATATTAAACTTTGATGAATTGAGAGCATGCTCATTGAAAAAGTATTGAGGGGAAAATTCTCTGCAATATCAAGATGTGGCGCATAGTTTCAGGATAATTATATGCGAAGTGTGAGTGGGCAGAAAAGCAGTAGAACTGCCAAGATAGTAATAGAGTTATTAAAATACTCCATGATAATCTCAAACAACTGAATTGTGTGTTGAAATTTAATTATGAAAATAGTTATTACATATCTTAATTTAAAATCCTTTCATCAGTTACTTTAAAGTGAACCACTGCTGAAACATGCTACTCTATGTTGTATTGCTTTTAATTCTATTAAAAAGGTGTTGTATGAAACCTGTCACTATGTGTGTTTTTCCCAGTGTTTAACTTTCAGAGATGTGAGAATAGATACAGTAATATTAGTCACCCAGTGTGAGATCAGTTCTTAGTGACAAAATTGTCTGTCTTACAGCCTATGTCTCCAGTTTGTCACATCATAATAGAATGAGAATGAGTTGTTAAGTGCAAACCATTTTCTGTGTGATGTAAATCTCTGTAATGCTTTTACAAATGGTTCCATTTTACTTGATTCCAGCATTCATGTTACCACTACAGAAATTGAGAGGAGAGAAAAAGGGGTTAGTTTTGACAGTTATAATATTTGGAGAATATTTTTTTACTCATTGACACAAATCTTAAAAAGACAAAAAAGTAAAGGTATTTTTTGGTAAATATATTGGCTTGTGCTTCAGCTCTTAATTAAGAAGATCTGTTGTGACAATGCCTCTGGTGAACAGGACTTTGTTTCTGCTGTTTGAACCTCCCGCTGCAGCGGATGCTGCTTGAGCACGGTACCTGCAAGCTGCCCACAGCCCTGAACAGTGCTTAGTTCCCTGGGACTGTGCATCCCTGCCTGTTCTGGAGCAGAGCATGAGAATGGCAGTGATCCCACTTCCTGTAGCCTTGCAGAGGGTTTCTGGGAGCACAATGATGCCATCGGCCATTTCTGGAGTATGCAGGCTCCTTCCTTGAGCATGCAGACTCCCCTGGCTCTGATGATGCTCCCTGACTGCACAGACCTGTGCTTGCAGATCGTTATCTGATGGCACAGCAGGCCTGGTCTTGAAGGCAGCCTTTGGGCTCTTCTGGAGCAGCCCAGACACATCCTAGGGAGAGCGTGTTCTGGGAAGCCGGAGGTTGGAATGGGTAGCTCTGCTGCTAGGTGGTTCGTCCAAACTTTTGCCACCATATAGTGCAAAGCATGTCCAGAGTAAAGCATTTCTACAACTGCTCTGCAGAAGGAGTGTGCCCTCCCTGCGTTCGTGTGTGCAGGCCGGGCACTGCGGGAGCATTTGGGGCCAGGGAGTTCTCCGGCTGAATGTGGGAAGGGTTCTCGTGTGGGACCGTACAACGAAATATTGCCACCTAGTGAGGAGCTCCAGTTTTACACAGCGTTTGTTTTGCGGGCGGGGTTAAAATGCTTACCTTATCACATCGAAGAATGTATGACAAAAAACTGTTTATTTCTCAGTACTGCATCATTTCATGCATAAACCATGCAGAATGGGAATTAATTTATCCATTCTGAAAACATTATTTAAAAAAAAAAATTTAATTCCTTCAGTTTTCTTCTTTCTACTTTTCCCTTCATTACTCCCACCTTCTTTATCATTTATGTCAGTGTTGTTTAAGAAAAAAGTCTTTTAAGCAAAATGTATAAAATTTTCCTATCCTTTCCATCTAAAATACTCAAATACTTTGTTGATGTTGAAATGTTTTCCTAGGCTTGTTTTCTTTGGATTGTCTAAACATCTTCAAAATTATCTGTTGCATACCTAAGCTCTAAGGCTGTTACAGACAGCAAGCAGTTTACAGTAAACCTTTTCTCTCCTTTCATTTCATTTTCTCCTTTTCCCCACCTCTGCTGAATGATGATGACTGCAAATATGCAACTTGGTTGCTTAATGAAGCAGAATCAGTCCATGTCATATGATGTTTCTTTATGAATCTAAATAATGCTACGGGAACAGCTGCACTGGCTCACAGTAAAAGTCAGCCTAGCCTGGTGTGCCCTAGCTGCAGAGCGATGCGTGTTCTGGATGTGGAAAGCAGGGAGCAAAGTCTTGGCCATCCGTTGGTGAGCTGCCGTTCCCCTGCACTGTGTCATCGCTCTCTGCTCCACAAAGTCAGCTGCACTGGACCAATGTAGGCCAGTGACGGCCTACTTGTTTGTGGTCGTGGTGTACTGCTTGCTCGCTGCACGGCCAGAAAAAATACCAGGATCATCCTCAGTGCTTGTATTTGGCCATACGCAACAGCAAGGAGCAGAGCAAGCCTGTCGGGATTGCTCAGGCTGGAGTTTTGCTGAACATTCAGATCTTGCTGCCTCCTAAGAAGATGAGACCACAAAGCTGGGGTTAAATGAGATTGTCCAAGCCTCTCTCCAATTTTTCAGCAAGTCAAAACTGGACCATAAAGTGGGGAATGGCAAACCCAGCAGCTCTGTGCCCGTCATGGTTCTTGCGTTTCTAGAGGAGTACCACTGGGATGAGTCTACTGGTTCCTTTGATGCCTTCAAAAATTAACAGATGCTGTGAGGTCTCCCCTTCCAGGTCCCTGTAGGGTTTTATTGCTTTAGGTGCTTTTTTTCTTTTTCTATGCTTCCTCTCCTTTTTGGAGGGGAAGGAACACTGGGTGCTTTTAGCAGGCTCTTAAGAAGAGCAGTAGCAATGGCCGTAAACAAGTATTGGGGGCAGAGAAAGAATCAGGGAAGCTGTGGTACTCTCCCAGCATCCTCTCCCAACTGCTACTGCATTTAACTTATGGAGGGGTAAGCCATCCTGAACCAGATGTGGTATTCAGTAACCCATGATGAATTTCTTTCATGAGCTTCCCTAATGTGTAGTCCTTGAATTGCTGTAAATTTAGCAAATTTTTTTAGCTTCGTCCCTCTGTCTTTCCATCCCTTCTTCCCCAATTCCAGCTGGCCTCTGTTGTCTCTGTCACACTCTCCCAAGTGCAGTGCTGTATCAGTCAGAGTGACAGTCGTTCTTTTTGTGATGCAGAAAGTGTCCCAGAGTTGCTCCAAAAATAGCTCCAGTGCTGTGAAGGGGAAAACTTTTGAGAAGTTGTGAGTAAAATAAAGGATTCTGGATGCACATCTTTGCTTGGGTTGCTTGGAGGGCCTCTAAGCAAGACTTCTAACTGACTGTGGGGTATTCCCTGCTTTCTTTCAAAGACCATAAAAATGGTAAGTTACTGCTTTCCAAGATGGTCCCTGCCTCAGTGTAGATGCTGAAACATGAGAAATAAAGACACTCGGAGAATGTACTGGAGCCTATAGAAGAGAGATATATTTTTTCTCCATATTGAAAATGAGAAATAGCTCTGTTTTGACTTTCTGGTAACTTTCTGTGTGCATAGCTGAGGAAAAGGTGAGAACATATGTTCTCTAGAGCATCGTATGACAACGATATGCCAGGGCCAAGGGCAAAGCAGGGAAACGTAATAAAACATAGATAAAATGAAGTCAGTCTCTGAAGTGTTGTAAAACAGGAGAAAACAAAAAACCCCAATATATTTATTTAAATCTGCAGCTCAATCACTGTATGAATGGGTACTGAAATGTGTTCGATGGAGTATTAAGAGACTGGACTCAGCAGACAAGATGAGTCCATTCCCAAGTCCAAAGTCCTTTATATATGAGAAT